GGTTTCTTGGACTTCATTCTCTTCCTTGTCATTGGACATGTTCAGTCCGTTCGGTTTGCGAATTCAAATAAACACAATCAACCAACCATTCTGCCTACATGTGTATGGTATCATGATATCACAGCTGAACACCATGATTCAGCCAAGCATGTTATACTTTCTCTTTCTCATTATACATGTATGACTTTACAGCCTTTCTCCATTACATCGTACTTACCCCTACACTGGGGTCACATCATTAACACAATAATTATTACATCATAATCACACAAGGGAATGGTCTCAAACTGCGGAGAGTGCTCAATGCAAGCGAGGCAGAGCTTCATCACACACAAGCGGAAAAACCGTCAGAGATCAAATTCCATTACACAGTGTTTCACCGTTCAAGCAACGGATCATCAGATGATCCGTTGCTTGAACGGTGAAACACTGTGTAATGGAATTTGATCTCTGACGGTTTTCCGCTTGTGTGTTACATCATAATCATAATTTTCACAGAATTACACCATTGTTGTGACGTCACTGCGTGGAATTCAGTTGCATTATAAACCTGCACATGATCGAACTAGCAGGATATGCTACGTTCTAAGGGCATGATTGCCTACCCGCCATGAAGTACTGACCAGGTAGTGTGAGCTTGTGTGAGTGTTGGTGCGAGTGTGCATGAGTGTGGGTGTGTGTCTCAGTGCATAGGTGTGTATGTGTGCGTGTGTGTGTGTGTGCATGTTCGTGTGTGTGTGTGTGTGTGTGTGTGTGTGTGTGTGTGTGTGTGTGTGTGTGTGCCTATGCCGAAAGGATGGTGCAATTAACTTAAGTTATCACGTATCGTGTAGTTTCCTTCCACTTTGTGTTGCCTGTTATAGGTCCACCTCACTTGTTTTTCTCCTTAATCCTGATGATGGCTCCTGGCCGAAAATTTGATTGAGAATTATTAGAATTTGCAGCGAAGAGACCACTTGGATTGAAGATGGTGTGTGTGTGTAAGGTTTTCCATTTAATGAAGTGGCTGCAGTGGAGCTTGCGCACAGAAAAGTACGAAGTCAATATTAGATTAATTACGCACGTTATGCGGCATACGACTAGCCAAAGCATGTGTTCAGTCCCTAAAAAGGAGTCAAATACAAGCAGTCAATACAGCCCTAAGCCTAAGGAGTGAAATATGCAGGAATATTTTGACTGCTTAGGTATGGCAAAAATCTATGGGAGTCCATACTAAGGGAGTGATAATAATTTTAATACATTATGGCAGTCTCGGACTTGGCGCATGCATGGCTGGTCGCTCTCTCCACAGTCAGTGTTGCTAAGGCTGGTATGGCGCATGTGACGTGAAGTCAAACGCTTTCTCTGGTATGCGGGTGCACCCATGCCATGGTGACGATTGATAGGTCTATACTGACACGCGGCAGTCGCCAGTCAGTCCAGTCAGCATAGCAGTGGCGGGCGGATCTAGCTGCCATGGCATGGGTGTTCACAAAACAACAAAACACAACGCCTTGCGTTTTTCTGTTTCTCGCCTGGGTGGTCCCGACACTCGACAGCTAGCTAGCCCAGCGCGGTGATGAATTCCTGAGAAATTATTATTTCACCACCTTCACTGCGGTTTGATCAGATATCGGGGTGAATATTCGCCATGATGCAGGCATGACTTGATCAAAGATCGTTTTGGGGTTTTATTCTGGAGCTCAGACAGCGCAAATCGGGTACGAAATCTTTCGCACTGCCGAGTTTCGTCGAGGCTGTCACTGACAGGCGCAGGTGACGGCATAGCCGTAAGGAGCGTGATGTGCTGCGCTCCAATCATTTCGAACAGAACTTTGTTTGCGGACTGAACGGCTTGTTTCTCCGGCAATATCTTTCAATCATCACCTGCCCTTCTGACAACGTTCTCTAATGAATTGTTTAGTTGAGGACGACTTGCATTCGTGTCTGATGGGCTGAGCACTGGGCGAGGAGGTCTCGCTGCGGCTGTAGAGTGGATTATGCCGTGTGTATGCCGCAGCGCTCGTTAGAGAAATGCAGCCTGCGGTGTTGGTGGGTGTGCTGCAGTGTCGGCCGCCGTCGTCGCCATGGCTAATATGGGCCAGTCTAGGTTTATTGCTGATCGTGGTCCATACAGCGGTGGGGCAGTCTACACAAGCAGCCACTATGCCAGTCACCAGTACAGGTGAGGCAGTGGGATAGTTTGAACATTCCTCAAAGATATCCAATTCAGGCGCTTGGGGGAATATTAAATTTTTGACTCAGTTCAATAGAACCTTTCAGACACGACACTTGGCGGAGTAGCAAAAATCACACTCCCTGACGACAATTCACTTAGCATACGCACATGACATGTTCCAAGTACGTTTCATATTACGTACGTATATACCAATTAAACCAGTGTGCGAGCAGGCCTGATATCTGCATGATGTGCGTGGTTTATGTACGTAGTATGAACCGTACTTGGAACATGTCATGTGAGTTTTTGCCATGGGAGACCTTGTATGCAGAGCTGCACACC